TTCACACACCTACACCGATGGATCTCAGAAAGCAATCGCCCATGCCGCCAGAACACTTACGAAGACCGAGAGGAATTACAGTCAGATTGAGAAAGAAGCATTGGTCATAGTGTACGCGGTCAAAAAATTTCACAAAATGCTATACGACCACCGCGTCGAGCTTCTGACAGATCACAGGCGCTTGCTGGCTATCTTTGGTTCGAAAAAGGGCATCCCGGCCTACACAACCAACCGGCTACAACGTTGGGCTCTTACCTTAATGGGGTATGATTTCGAGATCACTACCAGTCGACAATTTTCATGGGCCAAGCGGATACACTGTCCCATCGAATCCACAAGCGCTGGACGGAGTTTCTCCAGCACAGGCTATGATGAACCGGAAGTTTCGCATGCCTTTCGACGCCATCCGACCGCCCTCGAAATACTCTGTTGGTGAAAGAAACCATAGAATGCAACAGGATTTTAACCGGCAGCATTGAGCAAAGAACCGATCGTTTACACTCGGACAGAGATTTCTGGTACATGACTATCGGGAAGGCTACCCGAAAGGGACGCCAGGGACTGTCAAAAGCAAGCGCGGAAATGCCGTATATGACGTGATCGTAGGCGCACAGATCTGGACCCGGCATGCAAACCATTTACGGGTAACATTGTGCCAACCAGAACAAGCAGGGCCTACCGACCTCCCGTTCGGTTTATTGGTGGAAAGCTTCAACTTACAGAAGGAAGCAGTGGACGACTGCACACAGTCGAGCAAAGAATCCAGAACACGGATATCGGAACACAGTTTTCGGGAACTTCTGCCAAGGAGATGGACCGACAGGCAGAGAACACCATCCTGAAGACTGCAAGTTAATCCTAGACTTTCATCATATACCTCGGACGATATCTCAGCAGGGGAGGTGTCCGGGCGAAGGTAAAAATTGCCTAAAATTCCACTATGTTGGCGATTAATCGATTATTAACGATTATCGCATCGATTTCGAACGTTCTGGAATGTTCCGTTTCTGCACGTGACTAAAAGCCACATGACACGGCAGAAGTTATGGGGAACCATTAACCTTGGTAGCTGACCTTTCAATTCTAGAAGCCGCAGGTCAATAAGATACCTGTAAATAGAGCCAAGATCCGCGGTAGTTGTACAATGTTTGTTGACGGCGATTAATACGTTATTTTGCGTTTTGCTTTCCCCTTCAGTTGGGCTAGAAGTTTTGTGGAGCAGTAAAGTGTCAATTTCGGAATCGCGTCTAGTGAGAAGAGTATAACAAAGACTACGGATACTGTAGTGCTCGTTGGCGATCTGAACGCTTGTGCTGGAAAACTGTCCATTGATGAGTTGCATCTGGGTGACCAACATCATGCAGGCTCCCGTAATGATAACGGTGGGTGGTTGGGGCACCTGTTTGCTGATGCTCGTCTATTTCTCGCTAGCACTAACTCCGGACACAGCACCCGCCGATGGGCGACATGGCACCCAGCAGCCACGGAGGCAAGTTAATCACATGGCAATCAGTGACTGTTGGGGAGACTGTGTTCAAAATTGTCACGCAGTTTGGAACACGAGCGTGGACTCTGACCACACACTTGTATGTGCCGACTTGCGGGTATTTTTTGGCGGACGTCCGCAACGGCCCTGTGAGTGCATACATACTTGCCAACTGGCGAAGGCAGATTTTCTGAATGCGTACCAAAGTACGCTGGCATGCGGGTCGTGCAGCTGCTTACTGAACATAGTTTAAGATCACTGGTCACGTATCTGTCAGACATGTTTCCATGTGGCACATCACCTCGGTCACCTAGACATTAGATCTCTGCGCAGTCTATGGAACTGTTATACTCTCCTAACGCATTTCGACCTGGATCCAACACACTGAGACTCTCAAGAACCTCACGACGAAACTACGTGCTATCCTGAAGATAGACCGGGAAGCCTAGTGGTTTCATTGTGCATCGGAAACGGGAATGGCTGCTGCCCTTCGTAACCATCGTGTTATTCTGTCCGGTACGCAAAACGGGCAGCAGGAGACCTGATATTAGCTGAACTGCATGCGATTAGAGTGGATAGCCAATTTACAGCTCATCAAACCGTTGGAGTGTTGGCCCGAACATTTTGAACAGCAATTTAATGATCCAGAATTTGCGTTTTCCTTATCGGCCCTTGATCGCCATTTTTCGTCCCATTCGATCTTCCCTCAGGTACGGAATTCGAACCTGAGATCCGACTGTGAAAATTAAACAAGGCCACAGGAGCAGACAGACTTCCTTCAGTTCTCATCGTAATCGAGGGATCTGCTCTTATAGATGAATTGTACAACTTACTGGTGAAGCTGTAAGAGCACAAGACTGTCCCAGCTGACTGGAGCCGCTCTATTACAGTTCCAGTTTTCACTGCTCACGTTCGGATTGAGGCCGTTGCGCAGTGATCAGTCTGGTTTTAATTGTTTCTAAGTTGCTTGATTCTGGCGTACTCCATAGACTGACTGACACTAATGAAAAATTCGCGTGGGATAAGCAGGATTTCGCTGATTTCATAGCTGTATTAACCGCATCACCTTACACCGTTCGTTGATACACGGCCACGTTTATGCGACCCAGCCTAACCGTGCTCCTCGACATCCATGATGCCTTCGATTCGGTAGATCGATGTGCCCATTGGGACTGTTTACTCCGGAAACGCGTTCTCGATAAATATAACATTATCAGAGCGCTGTACGCGTATATTTCGGGCAGAGTGAGGACCTATGGCACTGTCACCGCTTTTTAATATCTCCAGCGGTATGAGACAAGGATGCGCGCGGTAACATTTCCTTTTTAACTTGCTCATCGACGAAGTCTTGGAAATGGTATTCACGAGACACGACTTAGAAGATGTAGCGCTCTTTCCAGGTGATCGACTTCTTGACTCGTAGTACGCTGACCACATTGCCCTAAGCTGTGGTGACTTTCAAATCTTCTATGCAGCATTGGACTAAGTAGCACTGGCTGTCAATCGTTTAGGACTATGCTTTGCATTCTGGAAGTTCAAAGTCCTTCTCCAAAATTAGCGGGGACCCACTCCTTCGTTGACCTTTGAAGGGGATCAGCTCGAAGTCGATCGGACATAATCAGCTATATTGGCGCAGTGCTTTGTGACTCTTCGCTACCTATGGCTCAGTCGCGACATCAAACTTGCTCTTAATGGCAGAGTTTACAACGCAACCGTCCGTTCAACCCTACTGTATGGTTGCATTCGACCATCGCTGCTTTCGCACTTTATTTTTTGTCTGGTGGCTACACCCCGTGAGCAATGAATGTGTTCGGGGTCCTGTATTTGGGGCAGGAAGAATAAGGGAGCTCAGCATCGTTATATCACGCACCAGGCTCTGATGGATGGACCACGCATTGCGCGCGCTAGCACACTGACTTCCGCAGCGTATGTTGTTTGTTCGCCCTTCGTCGTGATGAAAAGCAGAGGATGCGAGGCCAAGCAATGATATGGTCAAGAGGAATGAAGTCCCTCACTTCAGTCTTGGCTTTGGTTGGTGTTTCCCGACTGCCTGGCTGGGGTCCCAAGGTCAATGAACACCTTTGGTTGGATACAATGATTGACGTAGCGAAGAGCCGACCTCAGTGGCATTTGTGTTGTGAGTTTCTTTGTCCCCCTCTCGCTTGTCTTCCCCTCCAACAACTACCTACACTGCGTAAATAATATCATACTTAGGATTTTATTTATTGCTTTTAATCTTTGTATTCTTTAATGTTCAGCCTCTCGCTCTTCATATATCTTGTCTTTTGTATTGCGACAGTTAACTGAAGTCTTTTTCTCACCTTCGGCCAATGTGTAATGGTGATAACGATGATGATCTACAGCGTCCTCAACTTTTTGATCGTCGTTGTCCGCGGAGCACCGTTGGTGTTGGATTGCACCAACGTATCCGCAGGGACTATGTGCATAAGTGCTTACTAGGCGTCGATAGTAAGCTTACTCCTATAGAACAAGTGACATTGAATAAGTTACTTTGGCTTGAGCTCCAACTGCATACGCTCGGTCATGCCTTGTCATGATGTGGCTTATTTTGTTCGACGAATGTTGAATGGCGCAAGCCGCGAGTAAGGTGATGATAATGATGATTGAAATTACCGAATCAGTTTATCACTAAATGGTTCGATTGAAACAGCTCTCTGTGCGTCAGCCTTAGATTGTTTTTCGATTTTCTTACTAGTCGATGCCAATTTCACCAGTGTGTTTTTAGTTATCATTTCCATATTTCTTGCATATTCAACGGTTTTCACAAAGCAGTGGTTGTTTTCTACACGGTCTGCTTGATTGACAACTTTGGCCCAGCCTACATTTCTTTTGAATAAGTCGGACAGATATGCATGAATCGTCCCTTTTATCTCTGCGCGTTTCGTGGGACAGTTCAGCTTTATAATAAACACTGAATTGATTTGTTTCTAGTCCTCGTGCTATCTCGCCTCATCGTTAAATGGTTTTATAAAAGCTGTGTTGGCCTATCAGACAGAGTAGAGGACCGTTGCTCAAATCACGCAGTGAGTTCTTTCCTGAACAGTGTTTTACTTGGTGCAATGGTCTCAACTCGAAAGGATGAATTCTTGATGTAGACGTTCTATCCTATACGCACCAACCCTTGAAGCATCTCGTTCCTCGACATTATTTCCTTCGGACCTTTCCTTTGATTACCCCGTGACATTCACCGTATGTTGCGATTCTGAAGTGTTTTTCATTATTTTCTGCTTTTACACTCTTTTTTAATCATTGTTGCAACTACGTCAACATCATTTTGTGGCAGCATCTCTTAGATCTATTTAGTTCATCTGAAATAATAAGGAACTAAGTAGTCGATCGATGAGGAGATCGAGACCCCTCGCCGCATCATCGGCTTTCCTCTATGCTTCAACTTGATCAACACTATGCCTGTGCGATGCGGTTTGCTCATGCTCACACTAACGATATTGGCTGAGCTCACTTAGTCGACCGTCGCATTTCCCGTGTTTCACAGATGTTCTATCTCGCGATTGTCAAATGCCTTCAAATTACGGTTCAATCCTCCACTATTCCAACACAAAATACCTTCGCATCGACAACCTTGAGGGAGGCATTGTGCTCTACTCACATGAGCTCACCCACACCGGTTCTCCGAATCCGAACTCCTCTTCTTCCTCTGTCTATCCATACGGCTTTTCTTGTGAAGTACTCGTCCACAGTCCGGTACCGAGTGCCAAGATTATGCTCAGAGTGGAACATTTTTATGTGCCATCGGACAGCGACGATTGCGTGGAAAATTATCTATACGTGTTTGATTCCAACACTTCCAAGTCAAAAGCTATGGTGAGTGTGTGGTGATGACAGTTTTTCCTCAAATTTTTGGACTCGCATTATGAATATTACTGTTGCTACTAGGGCTATCTCTTTCATCTAGTAGTTTGTGCCATGGATTCTCCTTATCAGACATGTAGTCGCGTAGTCACTGTGGCGTTCCTGCCTTCGGTTTCTTACATGTAACCCTTACTTTCCATTCCATCCCGATTAGCTTTGCGCACTTCCGTCTTTATTCCATTTCGTCTGTAACCTATTTGCATTCAACCACATTTTCTTATCCGTTGATATTTATCATTATTCTGTCAATGTGAGTCGTGTCAACTCGATACACCGCACTTCGTTGCCCGGATCATAGTTGTTCAACTGAACTGAACTGAACATGGGTTCTGCTGTTGTGCCGGAGCCCCTAACTTTTACAGTGAATAGTCAATAGGCCAATAATACTGTGAGAAGCCTAGTCAAAACACCTACCACCACATTTTCCTCGTTTTGCACTAGTGTTGTCGATGTGCTGAGGGATGATATTAATTTTAAATTACAAACAAAGCGTACAAAGTAACATATACCTGTCACCCAAGTAGACGTCCGTGCGTGGTATTGATAACCATTTTTGAGTCCGCAGGCAAGCATGATAGATAAGACAAACTGGGGTTATGGTTAGATGCAGTACAAGGAAACAGAATTCAAACTTTTGACCGCGTAGTCAAAAAGGAAAGTTGGTTGATGTGTCGTCGTGCAGGGGGTGGAAAGGTGAAACTTTCATAAAGGATTGTCATGTCCGCCGACATGTTTAATAACAATGAATTCTACGAAAGACTCTCCGAGTAGTTCACTGCACCTGGGGAATAGTTTAATGGGACACACAATCAGTGTGAGCTCTTTTTAGAGGAGACCAGAGATTACCGGTGAACACTGCAACCACTGAGGAAGGATACTGGCAGTTATTGCCGTTCCCGTAGCTCCCTTGCTCAGTTTAAGCACTACATATGATATAAAAATCACGCCTAATTTTAACCCTGTCAACATTCTGTACATCTCCTCATGTACTCAGCGATTATCCATTTAACGCTTCTGTTTTTTTGTGCTATGCGACAGGAGTGAGACAAGCTAATCGACTCATAACTTCGCGAACTATTGTAGCAGTAGTTCTCAACGCGCTGGTGATTACCCCTTAGGGGAATATGACGGAACTTTACGTGGAGTAAGTATAAGTACGGGAGTTGGGTCACCAATCTGTCACCAAACAGGACTGATAAAAAATCATCCGTATCAAAACATGTAACCGACTACTTTATAACTATTGATTGGCAATCAAAGGCTAATCAATAGTGAGTGGTCGGTGAATTTTCGGTAATAAATTTCATTATCTAAAGTACGAATACAGGCCTACAAAGCAGCGCAGCCAGATGGCGCTCGCTGTCATTCACCGGGTCGAATTACAGAGTTGTGTGAACACTGAGGTGGGGGAGTATAGGTCAGCCGAACAGTTCAAGTAACGGGGGCGAATATTTACACGGTGGTAGGAACGAAACAGGCGATTAGTGTTCAGGACGTATGGATACATGGTGGTGATGGTGGTGAGAAGCTGTCATCCAGGACAGACTTGGGAGAGATATTAGAAACAAATGACATAACATAACATCTCTATCTGTTTGATCACGGATCATACACCAAAACAAGAAACCGAATGAACTTGGAGCACGATTTAGGATGATCACTAGTCGAAACCGCACCGAATATATCTTAAATTGTTGTAACTAAGCCATAGCAACCGTGTCATTAACGTACATCACCACTTGATTTAATGAAACATTTGCTCACCAATAACTCTTTTCCTTTGCATTGGTTCGAAATGCTCGTAGCTCGAGTTGGTAGTTAAGGTTTTGATTGGTTCTCCGAGCTGAGTAATTTAATGGCCAACGTTTCACCACTGAGCGAAGTGGTGAAACGTTTGCCATTAAATTACTCAGCTCGGAGAACCAATCAAAACCTTAAATGTTTTCCTTATTTAAATGCTAACATGGAATTAAAATAGCATTCATTTTCCGCAACTTGAGACAAAATATGCAATAGGTACTTAGCTTCTCAAACTAAAAGTTTTTTGGGTACTTGTTTATAGTGAACCCGCTTTGTGGGTCACACTCCCCAAATGTTGAGAACCATTGCATCATATCTATGTCAGTAGTCCCAACCACAAACTCGCGTAGGTCCTTCACTGCCATACAACCGGACGTGATGGGGAACACGAAGGACGAGTCATTGAATTGGCACTCAAATTCAAGGTACAGTAACTCACAAATGCTATGAAATCATGAAAAACTGGCCACCTTGTAAACTTACTACCGCAAAGCTGACACCACCCTCCCATTATTTTACGTTTTCGCCAACCAAGTATCACTAACAACAAGAGCCATAATGATCACGGCGTCAGCCGTTAGCCACTAGGCTCCGAGTTCCATCCCAGCTCAGGTTATCCACCTGATGAGTCCAAACGAAAACGAAACCGTCAGTGGTGGGGTGTCAGTGTTGGGGGGAGCAACACCGAACCACCATTTCGGATACGGTCCATGTGATCGGAATGACCGAGGTCTCAACGGAGATTACATGTGGCAATCCAACCACACGACGGGTACTGCAGATCCAACTTCGAACTTGACATTCTATTCACCCGCAACGTATGATGCAAAGTTTTTGTCTAGAAATCGGAAGATGTTTTCGGTCGTAGCTGACATTGTGTAGTCGAGGCGTGAGCGGTGCTCTTGCGTCTAGTGTGTTACCTCCATCCACTCCGAAACATACATCATCTCTGATCCCCCCCACTTTTTCCCTTCAACTTTAACATTCCATAGTATGGAGATGGTATGTTTCACAATTCCGCTCCACTTCCGTGTCAGTTTCCTATTGGACAACGAGAACCCTGTACTTGTTTTTGAGTATACCTTTTGCTCACTGAGGTGCTTTGCAAGTGAACCGCTTTCTGAACTGGCCAACACATCTCAGCATACTATACGCTCACTTGCCCTACAGCTTCGAGCTGCTACGCATCATGCCGCTCACGCGTGCAGTTTCCACTTATTATTGCAACGTTCGTTTCCATCAGAAGTACTTTTCGATTGTTGCCAGCGCATTGTTCACAAATTCGCTCCATCTTGCTCTCAGAAAATTGCTGGTTTGAGTTGCCTGGCTGTTCACATGGATTGTGATAACTGGAACTATTCGATAACCCAATACAACCCGCAAATGCTCAGTGTGTTCGTTTTTTACTTACTATGTAACTGGGTTTCCATAATTATTTTCTCCTGCATGTGTAGCATGACATTAGTCCTTCCCTGATACCTTATTGGGTTGTTGAACTGTAATCGCCTACACTGTGACGGTCGTGTGATCATCCGCTTACCTGCTTGTATTGTTTGACAACACTACGGACAGTTATTTGAAAGGTCAGGTGACCAGTTATTCGCAACACATAAAGCAGCTCACCTATCGGACAAAATAGCTCTCTTTGCATCAGACTCAATTGATACACACACACACACACACACCGTTGAATAGGCTAAGGTGTAACACCCTTTGCTTGGACCTGGGCTTTGCACCTTCAAAGTGCTACAAGCCTGGGCTAACACACCTCGCTGAAGATATTACATAACGGTCGTGTTCGACCATTGACAAGTGCACAGTTTTTCTCATGCATACGGTAAGAACCGAATGAGCAACTTTGAATTTCATCATCTGCTGCTTGACAACAAGACTCCTGATGCCTTATTTGTCTTCCTATTATATTCAAATCGCGCCCGTTTACTCAATCGTGTGCTCCGTGTACCAGCGAGTCGACTGCTGTTCTTTGCCGATACTGCATCTAGTCGAGTGAAACCCCGAGGTGGTCAGTCAATGACATGCCGAAAGAGCACGAAGGAATCAAAAGGATGAATTTACTCGGAAGTACTTGAAATATTAGTAGCTTGGGAAGCCTGTTCAGTTGTTTTGATATTCGCTGAGCTACATAACTTGCTTGCAGACGTTTCATTACCCTTCAAGGTGACATTATCAGTACTGGTGTGATGGCAGTTCCGCGGCAGGAGCTGGTGGAAGGCAAACCCATCCTTGGGTTTGCATTCAAGTTGCCAACCTCAGCGAACACTACAATAACTGAAATGGTTGGTGTTCATTTAATGCCCGAAAAATGACCTCGAGGTCAGTCACACCATTGTATAGATACTTTTTCGAACATGTTGCTGCCGATGTTGCATCCGTTCCATATTTTAACTTTCCCCTGTGGCATTTTTATTTCTTGCTTATTTCTCTTCTGTGCTTATTAGTATCGCGTTGATGATGGGAGTCAGCAACGGTTTGATCTATGGCACTTCGGCTCACAGGTTTCAGGTGATATATCGTATTGAACTGGTAGGAAGCTCACCGGCGAAACCTTTAAATCGACCGTTGCCTTGTCATTTAACGTCATTTTTTACTTTGTCTACGACTGATATATAACTTTTGTAGACCTATTTTGACGTTTTTTGTCTATAATATTTCCAAAGTCTTTAGTGAATTGCGGGTAATGCTGATCTGCCGCAAAGCAAATATTCCCATTTGAGTGATCAAATCAAGACCAGTTCAGTGTTAGGTTAAGAATTCTTTTCGGGTAAACTCTCATCGAACCCAAACGTTTACACGCTGGAGATTAGATGTTGTTAGTGTCAAATCGGGCCGAAAATTGATTGCTAGATTGTTCGAACAGACAATCGATAGCTCAAGGTCAGGCCGTAAATGGCAAGCAAAATAAAGGAGCAAGTTTATCTCGAAACATCTGAAGGAACACAAACACAAGTTACCTAAAAGCATTGCTACTAAAAAGGAGCTGTTTATGCACTTGCCATTTAAGAGCGATTCTGATGCTGATTCCCTGTCGCGACGCTTGCAAGAAACTGTTGAGAAGACTTATTTCGCGGCTCGATTGTTTACTACAATAAGCCGTTGATTGCAAAACTCTTGAAGCATGAGTTGCCCTCCTTGACCCGTTCAATGCTCGTTTATCAGTACTCGTGCTCGCGTGGTGCACGATATGCGGGTAGTACTGCGAGGCGGCTATCTCAGAGGATTTGCGAGCACATTCCGGTCTGGCTCTACAGAGGCGAGATGAGATCTTCAAACAGCTCTATTCTGGCACACCTTGATTTTGGCCACAGAGTATCTGGGAATGACTTCAAGGTCATATACTCACCACCTGAGCGTTTCACACAAGGTTTTCACAAGCAGCGCCTATTCATTACAGAGGCTATTTACATTCGCCATCTAAAGCTCGAACTGTGTGTACAAAAGCGGTACATACGTCCGTTACTACTTCCTTGGCCAACGGACAATGTTACCTAACCATTTGATTGCCATCCGAGATTCTATGTTGTACATTTCTTTTTGCTTTGCTTACCATCTAAGCCTAATCTTGAGCTATCGATGGTCTGTTCGAACAACCCAGCAATCAGTTTTTAGCCCGATTTGACGCTAACAACACCTAATCTCTACCATGTGAACCTTTGAATCCGATGAGATTTTACACGAAAAAATTCTTAACCCAACACTCAACTGGTCTTGATTTGATCACTTCCTAAGTCACCAAGTTTTATTACCATTTTAGCATACAATCTGTTTTCGGAAGGCCGTTGATAGCCTTACGATTGCGGCTAAGCGGTCCAACCTTAATGATACGGACGCATTTTGCGAGTACTTCTGGTTTTTAGTTTCACTTGTGCTTCATTATTTTCCGATTGTGCACATTTCGCCTTTAAAAGAAATGGAATAATGACATCAGCACTACGCTGGTGCTGCGTACCGACGCTTCGCTGCTACGCAACCACCACCGCCAGTCGCGCGTGCGTTGCGAGGGTCGCCCGGTCCCCTACACAGGCTCCAACTCGCGACCCCAGATTACAGGGCAGGCTTGTGATCATTAAGGCCACGGGATCGGTAATCCTTAAGCAATGAGCCGGCCATCATTTGCCTTACTCACGATTTTATTTATAAGACTAATGTCATGCGGCAAAATTGGCACATGAAGCCAACTGCTCCATATCTGATGCCCCGTAGTGAAAATACCACTTGTTAGGCATAATATCACTCTTTTTACGGCACGATAGCCAGCTGTTAGCCCTCCGGAACGATGTCCATCCGTTACTGGGGACTCAGTCGGCGTGCCACTGTTTGTTATCCTTTTCTTGTCTTTTGTATTGTGGCACAATAGCTGAGGTGTTTTCCACCTGCAGCTAACGTGTATAGTGATAATGATGATGATGTAGTGAAAATACGCAGCATCCAGCTCACACCAGTTACGCGTGTTATACCTTCTTCTGACTCACCTTCCGGGTTTCACCGTACTGTAGTGTGCGGGTCTCAAAACCGCAGCTAACACGGGAGGAGGAAGACCATCTCTTCAGTCTGCTCAAGCGGAACTTGTACCCGAAATGCTTCATTCTACGCCGCCGCGCACCACAAAATGCTCCTCAGCACACCTCGATAAGTGTAACATTTGTAAGAAGAGCCACTTTGCCCTATATCAGCGGAATCTCTGAAATGGCAGCGAGGATGTTAGTACCTTTTGGAGTCAAAGTTGCACACCAGCCAACGGAAACAATTTTCATTAAACTCCTCAAAATGAAAGATAAACAGCAAAGAGGAAGAAACTGGTGTGATTTATAAGATTTGCTGCCGGAACTGCGATAAATACTACGTGGAGCAGACTAAAAGAGAAAGTTTGGTACAAGGCTACACGAAGCCAGCCTAGACATTCGTTACCACGATCAGAACTCCCTGATGTCAGTGCATATGGATGCCGAGAACCATCAATTCGACCTGGAGCACGCCACCATCCTCGGAAGGGCTAAAAGCCGGCAAGCACGTGAGTTCATTGAAGCCTGGCATTCAAAACAGAACTCGATCAATAAGCACTCGGACATTGAAGTCGCTTACGTGGCACTGCGAACTAGGCCCCTGAAGCCACACTGATGATGTTGCCTTGTTTGGCAACGAAACCTCTGCAAAATAATCACTCACCTCGGAGAACAGCTCGAAATCCGTATCCACACCCCGAGCTACGGATATTCTCATTTCTTTCAAACCGGATCAACTAGCGTCTGGGTTCGCTTCTGCTGTTTCTCACTCGGCCTCAGCCGGCCCATCACCTTGAGGATCACAACCGTGCCTTGTAATCTGAGGGCGCGGCTTCGAGCAGTGTCTTTATCCCACTTGCGATTGATGGTGGTTGCGAGGCAGCGAAGCGTCGGTACTGCGTACCGGCGTACTGCTGATGGTCTTTCTTCTTTCTTTCTTTCACTCGGCTACTGGTGTGTTCCTGAAATTGACTCAGTTGCTTTACTCAGGTTGCTTACTGTCGAAATAAGCCATTTATTTATTTATTTACTCTGTTAAGCAAGCTTCACCGGTTAAATATTGCTCTTTCCCTTTGAGTTCGATCTCTTACCGCGTCCTATTTCGTTGCGACTTCTACACTGACGCTTTGGTGATTCGAGTGGATGCAACTCGAGCGCTCACGATTATGTCATCCACTTGGCGTCGTTAGTTGCTGTGTTCATTTTTTTACCTGATTGTCACTTTGCATGTATTCTGTCACCGAAATATCTTATTCTTGCCACCTTTTTGTATTATTCATACGCTATACTTACTGCTTAGTAGTACTTGCACTCTGTTTCAAGTTGCAAAGCTTCACACTTCATTCCCTTTTCAACGTTAGACGGAAGCCGGAGGTGAACGCGGACTTTGCCGCGCCAATTTTCCTCATCGCCCCATCTTCACAACAAACCCCTACGTCTGCATTGCATTCCAGTGAGTTGTTCGTGTAACTTGTCTTACAACACCACGTTTGCCCTTCTTCCGCACCAGTGTTGGTCATGCAACTCGGTCTGATGCATCTCATCAGCTGTTTAATTCCATTCGCTTTTCATCCCCATCTTCTGCATCGTGACACATCAATCTGCATGTGCATACCTCATTTGATGACATTTTGGGATAAGGCTAAATGACGCCACGATAATTTCCACTTCCAGAACGCCATTCTAATAATAACACCATCCACCATACCACCAGTCGCACGCGGGCCCTGTATACTGCGAGGACGCCCACCTCTACGCGGATGTGAACCCGCACCGCAAGATTACGAGACAAGGTCGTTACCTCTAGGCTACGGGCCGACGAACGCCAATCTACCTCCACATTTCATGACATAATCTCGATCGTCTGCTCATCGGCCGCATTCAATTTATCCATTGTAGCGTACGTACTACGAAATTAGTGCATGCATTAAACTTGAGCTACCACGATGTACTGGTTTGGCGCCAAGCTCCATTTTTCGCCGAAACCACAACATTGTTTTACCATCCGGGTTACAACTGTTTTGGAGACTTCGTTATGTATATTTCATACTCTGCGGCCTTTTGTCTCAAAGTTATGACCGGAGAAAATGCTTTCATACTGATTCTTCGTAGACAAAATTTCATTGGTCTTGATTGTCGGTAGAATTACGCTTTACCGCTCTGTGCACTTGAAATGGTCGCTCAACTTAATGGTGTAAAATCGTCTCTCATCGGCTCTTAGTGTTCATTTTCTCATTAACACTACTGCTGAATTAGCGAAAACGTTAAAACCCACTGTGGCATTAATCGAGTCTGCTGGACAGTGATTGACGCTTTACCGTACTGCTCACTGGTACACAGTAGAGCGGCCTTCCCTTATTCGGGAGTTCTTGATTGTACGCAGCTCCCTGTCTCTGTCTACTTGACTTACTTCACTTTAGGGAGTGTCCACTATATTTCTCAAATTAACGTCCTCTCAAAATGTCGTCATTCGAAAACCTGGAGGTCTATGGTTGAAATAAATGAGCTGCACGATAACGCGGTTTACAGACGTCCTTTTTTGTCACTGTTACTCTACTGACTGTTATGCAGATCTTTCTTTGGATTGGACCACAACGCGATAACGCTAATCCCTCACGACGCACATCTTACAGTGTGCCCACCTTCTAACACTCACTGCACTTGTTTAAACGATAGACGGACCGCCCGCCCCCCAGCCCTGTGTGTCTGTCATATCTTTTTGCCAAATGAACACATTCACCAACTACACCTGTCTGATGGTTGTATTCAATCACGAGACATCTAGATTTTGTAATGGGGCGAATGAGGCAAATAAGAACGCTGTGGGGGAGAAACGCGTACTTAAAATCCCACTGAATAGGCCCGAAGTTGGGTTAGCCAACCACCATAGCATCTGCAGTCTAAGATTACGCTGCAACTTATAAATAAAAATTCCTATTATCGAAATCGCGAGCAAAAAACAACCATTTCCTCACTTCGTTCTTGTGTTGGTTGGAAGTATGCATAGACGTTTTAGAAGGCGTTGCCATCTAAGTTACGCAGGAACGGTTCACAAAATATTTTCACATTTCGTCACCTCCTATGAGTCGAAGTGGATGGCGAGGGTACCAAATAAATGGTTTCGGGAACACATTTGCTCCTCAGAAAATTTATCTCTTGACATTATGCCAACACTCATGGCATACAATCCTATGGGGAGTCGCTGTCTATCGTATATGCATTGCTCTACCTCACTCGGCTCCAGCCGGCCCGTCGCCTTGAGGATCACAAGTCTGCCTTTAAATCGAAGGGCATGGGTTCGAGACTGCGTAGGAACTGGAGGACCTTTGCAGTGTCCATAGCCCACATGCGACTGATGGTGGTTGGAAGCCAACAACTTCCTTGGCTGTTAGCCCCTATTTCGCGAAGGTTTTACGTTTGTTTAACGCAGATATTGAAGACCTGGGTATCGTCCATCTGTTGTTGTTGTTGTTGTTGCTGTTGTTATCTTTTGCATGTTGAACCACTTATGTAGACCACAGAGGCAACAGACTAATTCTCCCAGTGTGTTGGCCCAAAACACAATAAGCCGTCACCTGAGTTCGAACCACCGAGTGTCATACCTTTCTGACCTACTGGTGATCGATCGAAGCTACGTGCAATTCTGCTACATATATATATATATATATATATATATATATATATATATCGAGAGAGACTATGGTGCGCTGAGGCTGGTGGTGCCAAGATCATGTCTACCCACTGCCGCTACTGTTGTGCTATTGGCTCATGTCCTGGATGCCTCCACGTGGCGACTGCTTAGTGGGATTTGCTTTACGTCCTTCTTCTAGCTAAGAGCCAGGCCGCACCAATCCTCATGAGGCAGTGAACTGATCATGTGCTAGACCCGCTATCTTTCGGGTGTGCATTTAATCGAACGCTTTGGTTGGGGACCTGAGTCGTTCTCCTGTCAGGTGTGGGCGCCCTGTCAGTAGCCTAGTCCATCCGATTCGGAGGTTACGAAGTGGTCGATTGCCCTCTTCCCGTAAAAACTAGGCATGGGAGACAACAGGTCTACGGGTTATAAGCTCACCGCTCGATTGGCGTAGAGCACAAGCGTCACGCATTGTCTCTGACGGTGTGAGGGCACCGGGTGCTCAATGGTTTGCTACTGCCCGCCTCAAGCCAGACAGCCGCTGGTCAAATTGGTGCAAACCCGACAAAACCCTCCTGCGTCTGGCCGTGGTCGCAGGTGCGCATCCTACTGTGGTCGCAAAACATGTATGAATCGTTCTAGTACCGGTCGCGATGGAACTGCGCGCTATAACATCGACATTGCGGCGCTTAGCGAGACCCGGCTGGCTGTGCAGGGTAAGTTGTATGAAGCAGGTGCTGGGTACACCTCCTACTGTGTGGGCAACGCCATCTCAGCACCACGTGAACATGGGATCGGATTTGCAATATCTGATCGCTTAAATGGCCAGATGGTAGGTGAACCAGCTAGCATCAGCGCGCGACTGATGACTGTTCGCCTACGACTCGGAGAGGTAAGTTTGCCACTTTCATAGGCACCTACGGTCCGACCATGTGTTACTCTGATGACACACATGATCAATTCGACACCGAGCTATCCTCCTTGATACGGTCTGTGCCGAGGAGTGATCGACTAGTTCTGTTGGGTGATTTCAACGCGCGCGTTGGGTGTGATGCATCGGTGTGGACAGATGTTATCGGTTCGCATGACATTAGTTCAGCGAATGCGAACGGTGACAGGCTGCTCTCACTGTGTGCCACTCACGGCCTGACGATCACGAACACTCGGTTTGCACTGAGTGCGAGTGAGATAGCAACTTGGACACACCCACGGGGTGGTCAAACTCATCTGTTCGACTATATCATCGTACGTCAGTGTGACATGCGGGAAGCGCTCATGACACGTGTACTGCGTGGAGCGGAGTGTGGCACTGATCACAAATTGGTGCAGACCAAACTGTACATATATTTTCGTAGATCCTGCACTCCTGCCGTGAATCGACTTAAATTTCACATTCTTTCCTTCGGTTGTATGGAGAAACGTTTTAATCTGGAGAAGGCGATGGCTGTACGTCTTTGTAATGTGGAATGTATAGCCACAGTGGGCGACCTGTGGCACCACATTCGCGACCAGGTGACAGCTGCTGCCGAGGAGACCATCGGGCGCACAAACTGTAAGCGACCCGACTGGTTTGATGACAACAATGCGACGATTGGCGCACTGGTGTCTGAGAAGAATGCAGCACTTGCTGCACATGTGGCAGATCCCAGTGACTTGAGGAAGAAGAGAAACTTTCGCAAAATTCGACGACGACGGCGACGACTAACCCGAGAGCTCCGTCGCATTAACAATGCATGGTGAACGGAGAAGGCAAAGCAGCTGAAATGCTACACCGAACGCCGTCAGAAAAGGAATTCTTTGACTCCTTGATGATGATGTATGGACCGAGGATGGAGCCACTGAGGACGCTAATCGATGGTAGCTCTGGCACACATAATGCAGACAACCGTACAGAGATTGACTGGCCTACATTGAACTGCCTCAAGCAGCGCAATGTGAAGACGAGTCTGGCGGACGCGCCGACACTGGAAGAGACGCAGATAGCACTTGCTCAGCTGCGAAACGACAAATGTGCCGGGGCCGACGGGATCCCGCCCGAAGTATTGAAACACGGTGGACTCGCGTTGGTGACTGCGCTGTACCACTTGGTGCAACGCGTGTGGATTAAGGAGGAGATGCCTCCTGAGCTGAAGCATGCCCTTGTGCTACCACTGTACAAGGGCAAAGGGAGCAAGCAATGTTGCACGAATTATCGTGACATCAAATTGCTGAGTTGTGTGGGCAAGGTGATTGCCCGAATCCTGCTCAACCGCCTCGTCAGTCAGGTTGTGGAACCGAACGTTCGAGTCGCAGCACCATGGATATGGTGTTTGCGTCTCGTCAGTTGCAGTAGGACTGCAGATAGTGACACCAGCCGTTGTACACGCTGTTTGTTAATTTCACCCAAGCAATTGGTACAATGAACCTCGAGGCATTGTGTCTGGTGTTGGGTAAGTTTGGTTATCCGAGTAAGTTTGTAAGTTTAATTCCATGTCTTCACACTGTATGCAGGCAAGGGTGCAGCTGAGTGGAGAGATCTCGGATGACTTCGCAGTTGTCCCTGGTGTGGAGCCAGGCTTCTGTCCTTTTTAATATTAATCTTCATGCCATGATGTTTTGTGCTTACGGTGTTCGTGTGGAGCACCGTATTGATGATGGGTTGCTGAACGTTCGCCGTTTCATTGTGAAAACCCTAGTCTGTGAGACAACTATCCGTATGTTGGTATTCACTGACGACTGTGCGTTGTTTGCGCATAGCGCGGATAAGTTGCAGTACATGCCTAGCGCTCTGGCTTCGACAGCGGCCCAATTCAGGCTCACCATAACGGTCTGTCTCTTTC